CTCAAGCAGAATTTTCATGAATTTTCCATGTATAAATTATATACCCTCTGGTAATTTAACATAGCTATGGAAAATCACCATTTTTCATGGGACAATCCACTATAAATCACCATTTTCAATAGCTATTTTGACATAACCAGAGGGTAAATCAATCCATTGATCATGACCAAACTCGTTTTGGCGATGAATTTCGCGACTGTTGAGGTGCCATGTGCCCGTGGTTATGCTGGAGGCGGCGCGCAGGGCCCCGGTACAGAAAAAAACGGTGCCCTTCAATTGGATGCCTCAAATGTGTAAAACCAACAGAAAATAAGGCACAAAAAAAGGGTCAAGCAACAGCACACAAACAAGTCATGAAGAAATCACTCTAGTATTTGTTTTTATGTTTCAGGTTCCACGGATGTTGATCCATGTCCACAAATACGCCAAGGCCTGCAAGCACTTGACCTTTCATGACCTTTCTGATATCCCAAAAATACCTTCCAGGTTTGGAGGGGAATGTTGCAAGACCCAGCATTGAACTTCGTTCTCAGCCAGACAATTGTCTATCTGGCCTGTGGTTCTTGATCATACGTGCTTATTTGAGTAACCCCCAAGAAGATAGACAAGTACTTCTGCATTGTTCTAGTTGGATTTTACTGTTCTATCTCTTTGTTTGGTTACTACAACAAGACTTAACGCAGTTGCAATGGCTAGGGCCAGGGCTTCTGCGCACAGACTTGGAGATCGCTTGTACAGCGAAAAAACTTTTATCCGCCCCATGCCGCGACCGCAGGTTATGCTCCAAAAGCCCCAAGCTGAGCAGGTGCCAATGTACAAAGTCTGGCCATGAAGGTTTCATTCCTCTGTGGACCTAGGATAGGAATGAGGAATTAAACCATCAAAAATTGTGGGGTTAGACCAAGAAAATGTACGGAGTTAACCTGAGTTAACCATGAAACAGATACAATGGGATGAGTGTTGGGTTGGGTGTTTACCCACCCCCTATGGATCCAGACTACCTGAGTGTTGGTGCCGAAAACCCCCAAGCCCTGAATGCTTCCTCAGAAGGGAGCCTGGATCAAGTGTGAAAAGGCAGTCCACAAGCAGAGGCGCTGTTGATTGAAACCAGCCCCCAATGACCTAGGACACGCTGAGAAAATCTCCAGTAGGCAAACGCCTTAAACTCGGCAAAGTACATATTTTTTGGAAGCAAACATCAACTTTTGGCTGCTAGTTGAACCACTTACGAACTGGCATGCACATCCCAGCGAGGCTCCACAGGGATCTGGCTTCATGGCCCGTTGATTATTTGTGTGGCCTGGATTGAAAGATGAAGAGAATTTGGTTGGACACCCTGAAAAGGCACGCTGTTTTTTGTAATGTGCATAATTATCATAAGAACACATGAAGGTGCAACACAACAGCTAATGTTTGAGCATAGATGTTATAAACAGTGGGCCAAAATGAGCAAACTTTCAGTACGCGATGACCTTGTCATCACATCTTCCAATCCCAGGCCACTGTCTCCTTGACTCTGACCCACAATGGCCAGTTTGCAGACACGCTCCCCTATGGGCATGCAAGATGATGCACGTTGCACTAGAATAGTATCAGTATAAGAGAGAGAGAGAGAGATAGATAGATAGATAGATCGATAGATAGATAGATAGACAGGCAGACAGACAGACAGACAGACAGACAGATATACAAATATGACGTTATTATTTCTAGTATTGCATATTATCACTATTGTTATATACATATATAACCATATGACTATATATATATGTGTGTGTATGTGTGTATATCCGTTTATAGCAACAGACAGAATTATGGAAAAGAAACAGTTTACAATTGACAGGTGAGCTCCTGTCTACCACGAGGAAATTCTAGACCATTTTTTTCCATATTGTTTTTTTCCATAATTTTTGGTTTTCCATAATTCTGTCGGCTGGAACACGTCCATCGATTCGCAGTTTGAATGCATTTTAAGGGGGAAAATTACATGATGGAACATATGAATTTGTCGAAAAATCACGTATACGGTATACCCCAAGCAATTTCCAGCCTTTTGCCAGTGGTTTTAAGCTACTGTCAAACCTATTTCAGCATTTTTTCCATTGGTTTTCAGCAATTGATCAACATATTTCAGCATTTTACCAAAGGTGTTCATCAGTGTTCAATCAATTTCATTGTGTTTAGCATTGATGTTCATCAGTTTTTTGACTTATTTCACTATGTTTCCATTGGTTTCAAACAATTTCGCGACCTATTTCAGCCTCTTACCACCATTGGTTTCAATCAACTGTCAAACATGTTTCAGCATGTTTCCATTGGTTTTCACCAATTGATCAACATATTTCAGCATCATACCGATCAGTTTTTCAAATCTATTTCAGTATGTTAAGCAATGGCTTTCGTCCCTTTATCCTCTCGTTTTTTCGGAACATTTTCATAGGCGTTCTCTATTCAAGAATGCACTTCTGGGCTTGATCTGACACCCTTTTTGGATGATATTTTGCGAAACATTTTTTTCTTACGGTGCTAGTTATTTCATGTCTTTTCTATAACTATTTTTTCCCAGAAATGGTCGTCCAGGATGACCAATCAACAACGAAAAAGTGCACACATTTGTTGATCAGGTGCCCCAAAATATATTTCATCATTTTGCCATTGGTTTTAAGATGTTTGCAAGTTTCCAAGAAATTTCAAACTTTTACCATTGGTTTTAAGCAATTGCCCAACCTATTTCAGCATTTTGCAATTGGTTTTCAGCCGTTGTTCAACATTTTTTAACATAATGTGTTTTCAATGTTTTTCATCACTTTTTCAAATCTATTTCATCATTTTTAGCATTGACTTTCGTCAGTTTTTCCTCCCGTTTTTTTTTCGGAACATTTCAAAAGGCGTTCTCTATTCAAAAATGCACTTCTTTGGAAGATTTTGTTATACTTACTGTACGGTTCTAGTTTTTTCTATAATTAACTAATTTTTCCCAGAAATGGTCGTCCAGGGTGACCAATCTACAAGGAAAAGTACACATATTTGTCGTTCAGGCGCACCACCAAAGGGCAGGATCTTGCCAGTACCAAAGCCAGCAATTTGGTTGATCCATGACATGGCTAAGAGGTGGACCCCCAAAGATGAATTATGGAATAACACGGGTTAATCTGCTCCAACCCCCTGACTACACAGGTAAAACACAATTATGGCAAGTTTTGGGCCCCTCCAACAATTATGGGAAAAAAAGGTTCAGATCACATCCGGGAATTTTTGAACCCTTACAGGGAAAACCCTAATTATGGAAAAAAACGGAGACAGGCGAGCTCATGTCTATTAGACCTTTGTTTTTTTCCATAATTCTGTCGGTGACCATAACGGCTATATGCATGATATATTTACAAATACACAGATTATATATTATGATGTTATTTTTGTGCTTATGGTTGTTGTTATTGCTAGCTTTTTTGTATTATCGTTCTTATTACCCTTTGTTTATACATAATTACTAGACTATACATATAATACACATATATATATATAAATAAATATATATATATATATATATATGCAGGTACCCTTGGTACTTGGTATCATGAACTATCAGTGTATGACCACATGCATCATAATTGAGTGTAATTGTCCGCATGCACATGTTTAAGATGCCAGTGATGGTTTTGTGCTTTCACCCTAATCGTGAACCTGGCTGTGGGTCATAACCAAAGACCTGGTGCTCACGTACAGACTTGTCCGGGAAACGTTGCTGAAAAATGGACCAGCCAACATTGACTGAGCGGACGAGGTGGAGAGTTGGGACATGGGCTCTTGTTGGGTGCTGATAGCTGATGGGAAACCATCGGTTCCACTCGGGACAATTCGGGACATATTTCAGTACAGTCCTCCGATTCCACGTCATTTACACAATGACATGTGGAAGATTGCGCTGATGCCCTGCTACTTGCAGCATTTTTCCTTTCATATTTGCCAAGTGGTTTGTAACGAGATTTTTATGTTTTTTTATGCTACATGGGGAAAGTTCCACATGTTCCACTTAGAGTATATTTTCTTGGAACTTGGGTGATATCACCCCATTTTTTGTAACACCCAGATGAGAATGGGCGGCTGAGGTGAAACGGATGCTGTGTTTTGCGGAAGGCAGCTTTGGGGCGGGTTGCCAAATTGCTCGGAAGAACCATGGCACCACCAAAGTCGACAAGGTGGTGCCCCATACTTAGGTAACAGCTAACTACGGTGTAAACATATGATTGGGAAGTAAACTTTTGATGTTTATATCATTTGTATATCATTTGTTTTATCCCCCAATATCTAGGGCCTTCGCTATCATTGGCTAACTGGGGGTTATAAACCATTGGGAAACGCCTCCTTGGATGGTCCCATGAGTGTATCACCGTAAATGCTTTTTGGTGAGCTATGAATCAACTAACCCCACCATATTACGAGGCGAAGAAAATTGCATTTCAGATTTACCCTCTGGTTATTTAACATAGCCATGGAAAATGGCCCATTTATAGATGGTTTACCTATTAAAAATGGTGATTTTCCATGGCTATGTTAAATAACCAGATGGTATGAATTATTTGTTCTTTAGCAGACAGGAGCCAAGAAGTTGCCCATTGGAAAGTGATGTTACCGGCGAAGTGTACTTCAACCAGGGGCTTCAGAGCATTTCAGAGCTTTGACAAGCTGAGATGTTGACGAAGCTGTTGTGGCTCCAGAAATGGTGCCAGCAAAATGTGGAAGGCTATATAGATAAAGCTAGTCTTATTTGCATTCTGGATGCGCCTATTGGCGAATAAAGCCACTTCTTTATCCGCTTTTAAACGTTTTTAATTTTTAATTGTGAAACTTCAGCGATTTTTACTTAGGCTTTTGGGCATTGCGGCCCTATTGAGGCGCTAACTTGTAGATCTAACTTTCCATCTTATCCTCTAGCCTCACTTGATTGCGCAGCAGTGACGTGTGTTACTTTGTCTTGCTGAATCTTAGCCAGTGACGCGATGGGGAAGAGCAAAAAAGTTGTCAAGCCAGAGTTGGCAGATCCAGAAGAGGAAGCAGAGGAAGCTGATGCTGAAGAGGATGTGAAGGAAGAAGACGAAGAGCAAGAAGAGGAGGAGGAGGAGAGCCGCCAGCTGTTGTGAAAGAGTGCTGTTTTTCAGGGACTGTTTTCGAAATAGTTGTAAAAACAACTATCACAAAACAGGAGTTCCCTCCTATCTGGCAGGGAACATGAAAACAATAAAGAATCCCAAAATGGCTGGTGGTTTCAAATGCTTCAGGTTCCTATCTATGTTTCACGCTGCCCATGACCCCCGCAGGAGGCTGAGGCAGAAGATCCTGAAATTGATGTGGAGGCGGGGCCCGCGACCTCGACCACTACATTTTTACTAAGGAGACTAGGGGCCCAAGGGGACTACAAACTTCTGGCATACTAAGTCGATGTGAACCAAAAGGCTTGTCTTGGTGTAGTTCGGAGGGTGATGCAGTTTCTGTCTTTTTTGCAACACGTGTTCAGTTTGTTCATGTGTTTTGTTGAAAACTTTTGGCTGGGGGACGCCTAGAAGAATGTGCCAACAGTTCTGCATTCAGATTGTTTTCAGCCATTTTTGCTGCGATCCTTATGTAGTCTAGTAGGGCCCCTTAACATTGCTTTTCCGCCTTTTAACCAGTTTATACCTGTTTCTTTGTGGGTTATGCCATCAGGCAATTTATAAAAGTTGACAAAATCATTCTGGTATTCTATTTTGACTGCTCTCATGTAATTTGCCAAATATGAGCATAAAATTGATAGATCCAACACTAGGCCATAGCTCGTTAGCCACATTACTGTTGATGACAGTTAGGAGGGGCAAATCAGTCCCAAATGTCCTTATTTCAGGGTGGCGAGCATACAAGATACTGTAACAACTATAATGATAACGATATGATATTATTATTGCCTTATCATTATGTCAAATTATGTCCTCATCTTATTCACAGCAATTTCATTTGTACTCACGCTAATAGTATCCTAATGATCTTATATTCACAACGGCCCCATAGCAGAGGGTAAATCGATCCGTCGAAGAATGCTAATCCCCTTATTAAACACATCCCCGGCATATTCCATTGGGACCAGTGGATAAAAACATTTATTTGGGACCATGGAATGGGATATTTAGTAGGATATTTGATACTATTCATCTATATTACATACATCCCATTACCTTCTTTCAATGGTTAAATGATGCTACCCTCTGGTCAACATACAAAAAGCTATTGAAAATGGTCATAGAAATAGTGAGTTTTCCCATGAAAAATTGTGATTTTCCATAGTTTTTTGTATGTTTACCAGAGGGTTTCTATGCGTATCAATTTGACACAACTTTTCAGGGATGACTGGCAGGCCATTGCGCAGAAGGCCGTGGACCACGCGCTGCTGGTCGCGAAACGGCAACTGGCGATGGGAGGAGAGCTGAAGTGCCTTGGTGAAGGGATGAAAGCTGTGGTGGTTTCCCAAGCATTAGCAAAAACAACAAAACGGGGAGATATATATATATATACACTATACATTAACATAATTAATTACTGCATGTTGTTATCCACCAATTATGAGAGTTGATGATGTTGATGATCAAACAGGGTGTTTATAGAATTTTATAAAAACATAATTTCTTAAAAAGTTGTGGTTTTGGACCTTTCGTCTTGCCTTTCAACATGGGGGTTATGGTCCTGGCAAAAAAAGGGAAGTGGGGTTCACCCCACTGGTGAAAGGCGCTGTCTCGTGCGTCCATGTTGTAGATTCGCACTAAGGCCTCAATGATAGGTCAGCCATTTTGAGGTTCATCGCGGTTGTTTGGAGGAAGATTATGTCAGTAGTGATTTATGATGTGATGGAAATTTGCGGATAGCCCTTGAAAAAGGTATCTCGCAAAAGCAGATGAGACCTTAGCGACTTGTCACTAAATCTCACCAACCACCATCATCATCAACCCTCATCAGGGTCTTACTAAACCTTACTCTTGGGGGATATGTTTTGGGATACACCCTTCGGCCATCAGTATGATAAAATCATAAAACATGTTCATCAGTAAACAGTATCGTGGCACCGCAGAGGTTGGACGTGGGACTTGGAAGTGAGCACCTTTACTTCTCAGGCAATGGATGGGGTAGGAGTGCGCTTGGGGGGCTAAGGTGAGATGCCGCAACGGGGGGGGCATGGTTGCAATGGGAATCAGCAACAAATCAGGAGTCAACCAGCACATTTGTTTAGAGTTTAGGCCGAAATTTGACGATAGCTTCGTCGTTTGTAGCACCGCCACAGCATCCGATTTTAGGAAATATATGTTTTAATATGTTACAATTGGATATAATACAATTGGCCTGTACCAATTCGGCAGAGATGGCATGCGAAAGAAAAGCTGCATGCTGATGGATGGACCTAGCTACTTTGAACAGAAATCCCCTGTGCACAAGGATCAGAATCAGAAATAGGCCGATGTATCCAAGGATTCTGGGACGCGATTGTTTTGAACGCATACCATGTTTGCACAAAATCCCCCATGTTTCCCGCATCCATTATCCATGCCAATATTCCAGTATATATATATATATTTAAATAATATAATATAACATAACATAACATAATATAATATAATATATATACAATATAATTTAATATGATATAATATAATATAATACAATTTGATTTCATTTAACATTATACAACAAAATTTAACTCAATTTAATATAATATAATTTAATTTAGATCAATTTAATTTAATATAATATAATTTCATTTAATTCAATTCAAATTCATCTAATATAGCATAAGATAATTTAATTTTGTTTGATTTAAGATACAATAATACAATATAATATAGTTTAGTATAATTTAATATAATATAATATAATTTAATATAATTTAAGACATTTTACTTTAATTTAATATAATTTAATTTAATATAATATATTTTAATTTAATTTTATATAATATAATATGATATAATATGATATTTACTTTAATATAATATAATATAATTTAATAGAATATTATATATATATACATTTATATATATATATATATATATATATATATACATACATACATAATTAGTGTAGAAAGCATTCCCAAGTTTGTAGGTGAAGCCTCCAGCACCCAAAATACCTTGCCCTTCACCCGGGACTCCATGCAGGCCAGGAGAATTTCGATACTGCCGCGATCCCAGGCCAGCGGCTTTCCGAGTAGACCATTGAACGCTGGGAATGATCATGTTGTGAGAAAAGATCAATCTCATCATAGATGTTTGTCAGGTTGGGGGTGGATGTTGTGGGAGATGTGAATGTTTGTTGTTGTTGTTGTCGTTGTTGTTGTTGTTGTTCTTGTTGTTCTTGTTGTTCTTGTTCTTGTTGTCGTTGTTGTGGTCGTGGTGGTGGTGGTGGTGGTGGTGGTGGTGGTCGTCGTCGTCATTTAAGGGTGGATGATAGTGGATTGTGATGGGCTATAATTGATTATGGCCTGATGGGGGAGCCGGGCCCGGTGGGCCCCCTGATAATGGACGTGGGTCGCCCGATAAGAATGGACGAGAACGCTAGGTTGGTAATTAAACACAAGTAGATTAACGATTGGCTTTCTAGTATATGAAACCGTATCATACTGTATCCTTAATGATGTTCATAGAGCAGCAAACAGAAGTTCAAAGGCACATCCGTGGTACCCCGATGCGACAGTTATTTCTTCACCTTCCAGTCGTGGCCAGCCCCCTTGCAGCAGTCGTGCCAGGATGGTTCAAGGACAGCACCAGCAACTGGGATGCGGCTGAAACAGTAATTGAAGATGATACTACTCCGTCCATCAATCTCCATATTTTTGGATGTACCCTCTGGTTATTTAACATAGCCATGGAGAATGGTCCATTTTATAGATGTTTTTCCCATTAATATCTCCATTTATAAGGGATTTTCCATGGCTATGTTAAATAACCAGATTGTATTTTGCCTTCAATACTTGAATTGAATGTCAAATCAACATTTCCAAGCATCAGGATCAGCGATTTTAAGACTGGATTGACTTTAAGTTGATCTACCCGCAGGGACACTTTCCATAGACGCCCCTTCACGGCGTCTTGACCATCCCGTTTTTGCCGAACATATCTCGATTCCACCTGGTACAAAGAGCACAGATTAACAGATTGGTGAATTTTCCATATTTTTCCCATTTTTGTGGGTGATTTATGGCAGATCTCCGTTTCGTGCCAGCGCTTGGACATGGATTTCTGCATCCATAGATTTCTTTGGTGGTCCTGGGACATCCTCAGTCATGTTTGATGTTCCATCCTATTTCTGATGATCCCGAGTGAAATGGGACTAGTTTCTGTAGTGAAATGAGGCTTTGAGGCGACCAATATCAGGGAATCCCAGTTGCAGATGACCATGTTGGAATGTAAACAAACCAACATATAGCATATATGTATACATTAGCGCGTGAGAAAACAGTTCTAAAAATCTTCTAGATATCATTTTATTATTTCGTATCATTATATATTATTTCATGTACATACTATATATATACATATATATATATATATATAATATAATATATATATATATTAGTTATGTACATATTGTAATATAACATGATATGTATATATATATATATATCACTAGATATCATTATTTCCCATCCTTAAATGATTTCACCTTGGATTTTTCCATTTTTTTCCATGGTCCAAGCGGTCCAAGGCAGCCTCCTTCGGCCGGCGCCGTTTCGGACAGCGCCGACAGCGCTGCGCCCGATGTCGGCGCCACGTGAGGTCCGGGCTGCACCAGTCAGGCCGCTGGATGATTCCAAGGACGGGGACATAGATTTGGACGGTTTATATATGGGATATATGGGATAAATATTTGGACATTATTCATGATTCACTATTATTCATATATTATGGGATAATTATATGGGATATAATATATATATATATATATGAATAATAGTCAAAATCAATCAAAATCATCATAATTTAATGAATAATGATGATGTTGATACTTATAACAATGATGATAATAATAAAACAATTATAATCATAGTATTGATAATAGTAATAAAACAATCATGACAATAATTTTAATAATAATAATGATAAACACATATTAATATTAATATATATATATGTATAGTGGGATCATATCATTTTATACCTACATGATTAAAATATTGTTTCAGGGATTTTTTAATAGAGTAGCCACAGGGATTTATAGGGATCTACTTGGGATATGATTGGAATATCTATTTCCCATGGGAGAATATATCATAATGAGTAGCCTATTACTATAGTGAAATGGTTTCAGGGATTCAACATATAGCCATATAGCTATATAATATCAATGGGAATTTCAGGAACCTAAATTGGAGGTACCTACCATATATAAGGCCTATATAAGGCCTATGTAAGAGAATAACCCCACAAAATATGGCCTTATATGGTACAGTACCTCCATTTTAGGATCCTGAAATTCCCATTGATAATATGCGGATGAATTATGACCTCACGTGGTGACGTCATTGGAATGATGGTTGGATTGCGGGGCTATTTCACCCCAAATGTTCGCAAGGAAATAGCTATTTTCAGGTGAGTTTTGATTATTTCAATTCAGCCAGATAGATTTAGAAAAATATGAAGCATATTAAACTATATATTTTCACTAAATCAGCTTGGATAGATATGGAACATCAACGAAAATCCATGGTTTCCTGTTCAGACATGATTTAGATTTATGAAGGATTTCCCGATTTGCCATACCTACAATGGCATCCCCGCTGATCATGGTGGAACCGCATGGCTTAGTTTACTGGAAGGCAACCATGGGCAACCAACAGAAAATGAGGATTCAACAAGTAATTCATTAAGAATTTTCACCAGCAAAAACAGGTAAAAAAATCTGCTGCGAATAATTTTCATTAAGGGTCTACCCTAAGGGATTCATAAGCCACAAGCAGCACGGGTATTGAATCCATTGAGTTGGGGAATGGTGGCAGTTTGGCCGCCAACAGTCGCAATTCTTTTTTTTTCCTATGTTTTTCCCTCCAAAATATCATTTTTTGAGTTTGAAACTGATGATAAAACATAAGCTTGATTTTTTCCCTTGCTTTTTGAATCACGGACCATTTTACCTTATGATGGTATATGAACGTATATGGTACTGACATGGTTCATTTTATCGGCAAGTACTGGGATCACTTATTGTGAACCACCTCTCAGAAGCAAAGACAGGCCACCATGGTGGCTGGTTTCATGCTTGAAACCCATCCCCATAAAGTAATTGCCCCGAAATGTAGCTCAAATCAGCTTCAAAGTTTGTTTGACGTCAGACATTGCGCTGTCGTTTGGATCTTTTACATTTTTTTAGTTTTCCATGTGTTGGGAATAATGATCCCAACTGACGAACTCCATCATTTTTCAGAGGGGTAGGTCAACCACCAACCAGGAAACATCTCAATCAAAGCACGGTGCAGGAACGCAGGGCAGAGGCGAAGAAACAGCGGGAAGAGAAGCTGGAGAAATGGTTTGGACTGCCCAAGCCTTTTGGCATCGACGGCGTTCAAACCGGTGGAGAGGGGATCTATACCCTTTGGTTATGACTAACAAAAAGCTATTGAACATGGCTATTTATAGTTGATTTACCCATCAAACATGGTGATTTTCCATAGTTATGTTAGTTTACCAGAGTGTATCTATGTTTCTTTTAATTTTGATATTTCATATGTAAGGCTATATGGTGATATAAGGAAATCTGAAAATATGTATATAATTATCTACTGTCAACTGTTGTTGTTGTTGTTGTTGTTGGTGTTGTTGTTATTGATGATGTTGTTGCTGATGCTGTTGCTGTTGCTGTTGCTGTTGCTGTTGCTGTTGCTGTTGCTGTTGCTGCTGCTGCTGCTGGTGTTGTTGTTGTTGTTGTTGTTGTTGTTGTTGTTGTCGTCGTCGTCGTCGTCGTCGTCGTTGTCGTCGTCGTCCTCGTCGTCGTCGTCCTCGTCCTCGTCGTCGTCGTCGTTGTCGTCGTCGTTGTCGTTGTTTGTCGTTGTCGTTGTTTGTTGTTTGTTGTTTGTTGTTGTTGTTGCTGTTGCTGTTGCTGTTGCTGTTGCTGTTGTTGTTGTTGTTGCTGTTGGTACAAACAAAGACTGGGGCCCTGAAAACAAGCTATCCGAGCTTATTTGGGAATTTGCTTGGCGTTCCTTAAGGGCATCTATGGAGTTTTCCGCCGTTTTGAAAAAGAACTTTGGTGTCGTCTTGTTGCTCCTTTTTTGAATTTGGTTAAAGCTTCTTTGTTGTTGCTGTTGTTGTTGCTGGTGCTGCTGCTGCTGCTGTCATTGTTGTTATTGTTGTTGTTGTTGTTGTTGGTTGTTGTTGTTGTTGTGGTTGTTATTGTTGTGGTTGTTGGTTGTTGGTTGGTTGTTGGTTGTTGGTTGTTGGTTGTTGTTGTTGTTGGTTGTTGGTTGTTGGTTGTTGGTTGTTGGTTGTTGGTTGTTGGTTGTTGTTGTTGTTGTTGTTGTTGTTGGTGTTGGTGTTGGTGTTGGTGTTGTTGTTGTTGTTGGTTGTTGGTTGTTGGTTGTTGGTTGTTGGTTGTTGGTTGTTTGTTGTTTGTTGTTTGTTGTTGTTTATTATCATACTTATTATATAGTACTAGTAATTATACACACACTATTCACAGTGCAGGCCGGGCAGGTGATTATGATCCTTTTCCGCTTGTTTCCCATCACATCACATTAGAGGGGGCACATTTGCAGGTTTTGAAGCTATGTGTGAGTATAGTTATTGGAAAAATATTAGGTATTGATTTTTTAAAATATTACTACTATCATTGGAAAAATATAATTATTGGAAAATATAATTATTGGAATGTTGAATTTTCATAATATCATTACTTTTCAGAAGTCGACCCAGATCCCTGGGCTGGATTTCAGGCATAAGATGACGCCTGAGTTGGAGAAAGAGCTGAAAGCCTTGCGTCTCCGCAACAATTTCGATCCCAAAAGGCCAGGATCGAAAGAAACGGACGGATGATATGGATATCACTTTTTGTTGGCGAAGAACGTAGATTATATAGGGAACATATTAGGGATTCTATGGGCTTCTATGGGGATAACAATGGGATTGCAATGGGAAAGCAAAACATGATCTTTACCATCCAATATAGATCAATATAGGGGGTTCAACCGTAATTTGTCTTTTTGAAATCCCTTGGAGCAATCCAGTGATAATGGCGAAATTGATGATATTCAAACCCTGTTGGGCCTTTGGCAAAGTACCCGGATCATCCGCGTATGGGATTTTCACTGATCTTCACCTGTTTTGATTGCTCGCGTTTTTTTTTCCTTAATCTATATATATATATACAGACAGATACATAGATAGCCAGACAGACAGCCAGACAGACAGCCAGACACTCAGATAGACAGATAGATAGATAGACAGATACATAGATAGAGTGATTGATTGATTGATTGGCTGGATACATAGGAAAGACAGGATAGATAGGATAGATAGATATCTAGATAGACGGATAGCTACCGCTACATACGCAGATATATAGAACTCAGGTTTTATTAGTTGATCGATGTGCCAATTTGCTGGGCACACCTTGGGGTTGGGTACTTGTTTGTTCACTGCATTTGTTTACAAAATATGGATTATGTATATTTCAATCAAACTGCGAAAAGTGTGAAAAGCTACATTTTTGCAGGGTATCCACATATATACTATATATAGATATATGTGCATATATACAATCAAATCATATGTAGCATGTGCTTCATGCCTATTTGTCCATATTTGTGTCAGTCTTACATCGGACAGGTAAAGATCCCCGTCGCAGCGCAGCCACGACGCAGGTTCTATAAGGCCAACGATAAACACGAGCTGCCGCCGCTGGATTGCAGCGACCAATGGGATGGAGGATTTGATCAGCATACATTGGGAGTTTACCAATGCCATGGAACTTGTTGGGTTTTAACAACTCCAACATTGGGCTTACATGGGATATTACATGATATTTGTTTAATGGTTTAAAGAAGTGCAACATTGGGTTGACATGGGATTTTACTGGATGTTTTCGTACTAAACACTCATCAAGAAATGGAACTTGAGGGGTATCTGAGATTGCCATGTAGACAGGCTGTATCTGAAAATGGGGTACACCCACAGATCCCTGTGGCATTTTTGAGTGTGAACATAATGATGATTAACCAGTGGATTCATGGGTACTGTTGGTGACACCACCCATAGAGGGAAGAAATTGATGAATTGATAAGACTGATAAGGCTGAAAGCACTTGTCATCGTTCGTTGTGAGTTTTCCGGACTATATATGATATAGAGTAATTACCTTGCATTTCCATTCAGGAAACAGAGAGACGTGATCAACATTGTTTTTTTTCCTCACCATGTCGTTTTTTTTTTAGAAGGAGATGTGATATTCATATATATATATTCATGTTGTTTGGTAAAGCGCCTAGGTATATTTTTTAGGCCTCGTTTGTTGTGTTTTAACTACCAGCTGAGTTTTTTGCAGGGCACGGGAAATCCGCATTGATTTTTGTTTTCCCTGGCAAGGGTGAATCGCCAATAAGTTCATGAAACATTGGGATATAAGAGAGTTTGGAAGATATATAAAGATATATGTATATATGTATATGTATATATATATGTATATGTATATATATGTATATGTATATATATATATATATATGTATGTATATATATGTATATGTATGTATATATATATATGTATATGTATATGTATATGTATATGTATATGTATATGTATATGACATCATATGACATCCTATTGTTTTGTATGTTTTGATATGCAGTGGCCTTGGACCAACAACTTCCTTTCTCAGCCCTCAGGAAGTACTTCACCATTGCAACAGAGGTGGGCGGAGGTATGGCAGCGACCGGATACAACACAAAGACCCGAGACATGGCAAGCATGTTTGCCCTGCATTGGTGAAACATGGTAAAACAATGGGCAACACATGAACAATCAGGAAGTCCGGACCAACTTCAGTAAAAAAAAAAGTTGGTTCCCTGCAACATGTCCTTCAATCTATGGTTTTTTTCTCACAAACTTGGCAGCGGAGAAACCACAATTCCCAAAGAGCGATGTTTGTCGTCCTGTGCCATGATGACCAAGGAGAGGTGTCGGCACACAGCGGCCGAAGTTTTCTGGACACTTTGCTAAGAGATCAGAAAGTGCTGCTTGGCTCAATAGATCGATGCCAGAGTCGACAAAATGCATGAGTTCTAGGAAACACTCTCTCAACAAACGCCATATTACAGTTTGTTCATGTTTGTTCACACTGGAAAAGATTTTCAACAGTTTCCCTATTTTTCACCAGCAACTCAAGAACCTGTAGAAGGGTAAGAAAAAGCAGCATCGTCTACATTTCCCATCATTTCCCATAAACATTGCAATTTGGGGATGCCCCCATTTTAAGACTAACCCATTCGGGGAGGTTTTGTCCATCGTGTTGATCATTTGCCTCACGTCAGGGGAGAGTGGACGGCGAAGAAAAAGACAGAGGCGCCTTACTAGGGCTTGCGGAAAGAATGACCAAGTATAGTATTGTTATTGCTGAGGTAAATTTAGGTCATTCTACGATTTACGTGATGTAGTGTATACACTTAACATGACACACACACATGTATATATATATATTACATATGGAATCATTTGCCTATGCATGCGCATCGCAGAACGAGATTTTCTTCAATAAATGTTCATTCATCCACTCCTATGTTGGCTGATGTTACATATCCATCCATTTCAATGTATTGAAGAGTGTATACTGTAAGATGCCAACGTTCTTTTTCTCAGTGTCATATGTGTCATGCAAATGTAATGCACGTGGAAGCCTTCGGCAGGCGTTGTGTGGGCCTGTTTTTTTCTCCTCCTCTTTGATCCTCTTTGGGACTCTGCAAATTGGTGTTTAGCATAGGTTTGATTTGGAGGTTTCCTAAAATGTGGGTACCCCCATGCCCCAAATCATCCATTTATATCCATTTTAATGGGATTTTCCCTTAGGCAAAATCCATTTTTGGGTACCCCCATTCTAGGAAACCCCCATTGAATCAAGATGCGCATCGTATGGGTCAAACTGGTGAGCCCCAAACGTGGACGCTTCATGGCTCCTTAGGTTCAAATGTTTGATCCGCGAATAATGAACCTGTTCTAGTGCTTGGTAGGACCAACTAAGAAAGTTGATTTGCAAGGCTGTAAGGATTCATGCTTTTGTTTCGCGTTCCCACATTTTCCAATATATTCCCACATTTTTCCCATATTTTCCCACATTTTCTAATCTCATTAAAGCCCACTCGCAGCACCCCACGGCCCTGTCTCGCCCTGCAAAACGGCGTAGGTGGCTGACAAGCACCTGGCCTCCTTGTCGAGTGGACATGGAAAGCGAAAGCATGAGGGAGCAAGGACCTGGCTGAGCTGAGGTGAAATATCATGATTAATAGCGCTTGATGGTCGATAATGGTTGATAATGGTTGATAATGGATGGATTTGTATAGGCCTTAATTGATGATTAGCGGAATTTAAAGAGATCCTTATATGTTAGTGGGTTATACCTATTCACAACCAGAGATATATCTATTCATCTGTGTAATCCATGTCGCGACCTCATGTTGCGACCTCACTGGAATGATGGTATATTGGGAATCATCCCCAAATATTAAAATCATCAGGTTGGTGAAACATGATAACAAATATTAAAATCATCCCCAAATATTAAAATCATCAGGTTGGTGTTGCACATGATAACTTACCGAGATTTTGATATTTGAACCGCTCAAAACCGCCCTTCATGTTTACTAACGACCAACCGCTCCCTTTGGTGGCAGCATGGTGGATGCGCCGGAGGGGGATGGGATGAATCCCTTTTTGTCTGGTACATTTCTTGATGATTCAGATGTTTACCCTCTGGTAAACTAACATAACTATGGAAAATCACCATTTTCAATGGGTAAATCCACTATAAATCACCATTTTCAATAGCTATGTTAGTTTACCAGAGGGTAAAATACCTAAACAGCCATTACCCATGACGGATCCATGGTGCTGGTATATTAATGCCAGCATAAAGGGGGTTTTTGTTGATGGGATCCATGGAGCACCATATATAGCAGCACCATGGATCCTACAAGCGCTAGCGTTAAGTCGTATCAGCTTGTAAAAGTCGTATCGGGAGGCCGTGCGCCTGGAAAAAGTTCAAGTTTGGTATCACCACAACTTTTAGTAATTGAACGATTTCATTGTTTTGGGGCCGTGCGCCTGGAAAAAGTTCAATTTTTGTATGCAACAGCTTTCGGAACTTGTATTTGATCATACTTTCAATGGGGCATACGCTGCAAGATATTATTGATAGGTTTGTTCTTGGGAATTGGGTTCCACATTCTCTAGGCTTGGCCATGTCGATTGTTAAGAGAATGTGTACCAGATTGTTAGGATTTCAATCTGAGGAGGTGATATGGGTATCAGCTGGTTTCCAACTATTCCAATAGGATTCTTTATAAATATGAACCTTTTCAACAAAGTATCTGCCATTTTCCCTGTTGTGCGCAATGCTTCGGCCACTTTTAGGCATATGCATCATGATAGATGAAACAGGCTGTGCCATGGTGATTCTTCTTCCCTGATGTGACTTTCCACTACCTGATGTGACTTCTCCGTATCGCCGCCGTGCCATGGGGATGATGTGACTTTTCCCGCCTGATGTGACTTAAGTACGGTGCTCGTATATGGGTTATAAGTAGGGTAATTTTCGAAGTGGGTACTTGGTGGCTCACCCCAGGAATGGTAAGAGAGATAACCCCACGGTTTTTTTCGACACGGCACGTCATTCTCCCATGTTCCAATGGCTGGGGGAATGCGCCATTGACACACCCCACTGGGTACCCTCCAGTAAACTAACATAGCTTTAAAGATGGTCCATTTCTTGATGATTTACCTCTTCAAAATCGTGATTTCCATTGCCATGTTAGTTTACAAGAGGGTGCCATACCTGGCTGGTGGTTTCAAAGATGGTTTTTAATGGTTTTTATTCTCACCCACATTTGGATATTCGGGATGATTCCAAATGACCAACATGGTTCATACGGGTTAATCAAAACTACTTACGACTATTTCTGAACATGGGAGGGGACACAAGTTTAGGCGGGTGTACTACTTGAGTATGATACTTGAGTAGTTTCCTGTTTGAATCTTTCCAAGTCATCCCAAAAAATGGTGCCGATAGCCAGACCAGTGCAGCAACTGGGATTCCAGCCAGGAGCACGAAGCGAGGAGGATCCTGGAAGTGCCCCAGCTCGGACAATGTCTGTCAGCCCGGCAGCTGTTGAGCTGCCATGAATGTTTGTTTTTGGCATTCTTTTGGGGACCCATAACACCAAAATTCATCAAAATTCCAAGATTTGAACATTGAATACCAAAGCTCTGAACAATATTTTTTGCAACATTTGAACATTGAATATCAAAGCTCTGAACAATATTTTTTGCAACATTTGAACATTGAATACCAAAGCTCTGAACAATATTTTTTGCAACATTTGAACATTGAATATCAAAGCTCTGAACAATATGTTTTGCAACATTTGAACATTGAATATCAAAGCTCTGAACAATATTTTTTGCAACATTTGAACATTGAATACCAAAGCTCTGAACAATATTTTTTGCATCCATGATCATCCATGATATGCACAATAGACATGTGGAAATTGTCAGCCGGCCCATGTAGTCTTGGCCTTTGCTGGGGACATCCCTGAGATGACCCCAGATGGTCCCTGAAATTTGCCTCGGGGTGTTCTCATTCCTGATACCCTTTTGTAATCAAACGAGGCAATGGAAAATCGCAGATTTCACGTATATATATACATATATAATTATATATATATAAGTCTATACCCATAGGATCCATGGTGCTGCTATATATGGTGCTCCATGGATCCCATCAATATAGCCCCTTTATGTTAGCATATATACCAGCACCATGGATCCGTCATGGGATATATTATAGCTGACCTTCCCATTAAAAAGCCCAGCAAACAGGGGATTTCCCATTGCACGTTTGGTTACCGGAGGGTCTCCACGGTCTCCACATGAAAAGCTCCAGGAACCGCAAGGGACCTATGCTGTTTTTGTTGCCCCATGAGGCCCATAATTGATCAGATTTGATCATCATCAAATATCATTTTTTTGGTGTTTTTGACTCTGAGTCACAGACATTTTAGGTAGGCTTGATCATCATCAAATATCATTTTTTTTTGGTATTTTTGACTCTGAGTCACAGACATTTTAGGTAGGCTTGATCATCATCAAATATCATTTTTTTTGGTATTTTTGACTCTGAGTCACAGACATTTTAGGTAGGCTTGATCATCATCAAATATCATTTTTTTGGTGTTTTTGACTCTGAGTCACAGACATTTTAGGTAGGCTTGATCATCATCAAATATCATTTTTTTTGGTATTTTTGACTCTGAGTCACAGACATTTTAGGTAGGCTTGATCATCATCAAATATCATTTTTTTTGGTATTTTTGACTCTGAGTCACAGACATTTTAGGTAGGCGGGATTTTGGGGCTAAGGAAAAAGAAGAGATCCTGAGCATCGACCATGGGTAACCGAGGCCCATGGCATCGTGAAGCCTGGTTTCGATTTTTAGAATCAGTTCTTAGGGGAATGGGATTCATAAACGTTACCTAAATAAGCAAGAAAAATGAAGATTTGGATTCCCAGTTTTTATTGGTGAAAAATACTGTAGCAGCCTAAAACGGTCGAAAGAGTTGTCATATCGGTCATCCGTAGGATCTTCGTTGTGGATTGGATACGCTGAGACTCAGCACATGCTGGACCCACTTTTTTGGCAAAAAGATAGAACAGGTCAAAATTATCAGATTTTACTTTTTTAAAATCTTTTTTGGGGTTGATTAGCATATCAGACTATATCCTATTTTGAGTTGAAGGTGATCTACACCATTCTACAGCAGAACACCAGATGTCAAACGTGCTGCGGTTTTCGCTCCTTACGGTTTCACCTCATGCCACTACCCGTTGAGTGGTGTCCCGAAATGCCGCAAAAAGGTGAGGTCATTCAAACGTGCCTTGCTAATCTTGCTATTTCTCATGTTCAACAATTTTTGATGTAAACTTTCGATAAAGCAACCATTGGTTTACTGTAATTATGTGCAAAATTATGGGCGTTCCTGGTGGCGATATTTTGCGATAGTCGGGTGGCAGTGACCCAGGTTGCGGTTAATTCATGTTCCAACATGGGAGACCGTATCAACCAGTGATGGGGAGGATCATCTATGTTTTTGAATGTTTCTGCATTGCAATTCCAACCTCGAACGGCCAGTTGGCCGTAGACGTAGAACCGCGAACCGTTCAACTGGCACTAGTCGCCCCAAGCCGTGCCACATGGCGGATGATGGTCAAGGCACAGGTTGGCTCAGCCGGGCTTCAACCAAACCATGACCGGGACTTTGCTGCAGGGGGATGAGACTCAAGGATTCCAAACCACTGTGGCCCCAAAAACATTCGCTACATACGTATGTTAGTAATTGTTAGTATATATTACATATGTTCACACACACACACGCGCATATATATAATATATATATATATATTCATACATACATATACATATAATATATACATATTTAATCATATTTATATGCGTATATTACTCGTATCTACATGTATGTGTGTGTGTGCGTGCATGCATTGGTTCCGCACGCCCAGGAATGCCTGCTCAAAAAACATGCTTGTAAAAATTTAATAGCTCTAATTACAAGCCCTATAGCCTCTGAGCAATTTGCCTCTGAGCAATTTGCCCTGGCAGTAGACAATAAGATTTCCGACTAATTTCGAACTAAAGCCCCAATTATACGACAATATACGTATATACCTAGACCCTCCAAGTACACATAAAACTGGTGTTACCCCATAAGTTCAGTACTTTTACGATATTTTACCATTTTTGGGTTGTATTTGGTGGGTCTAGGTGTAGATCTTTGGTTCCTCGCGAATTTCCAACAAAACCCCCAGTTGTGTTGGAAAAATCCTGGTGATCGCCAGCTGGAGCGTTTCCGTCCCAATACGATGAATCTGGCATGTTCGGGGTCCCAGCTGGTGGTTTGTTTCACCAGACGTTGGCAGTTAAGCAGCCAGACCGTTTCGCTGGATATGGCATGACTTTTTGGGAATATCACAGGAACATGGAGAATTTGGATGGTTTATTTCCCATTGGCAAACCGGGGCTGGAATCTTTTTTTGTGAAGGCCATTTTAAAGAAATACAATACAATGTCAACTGTGGATGTATAATTATTAGGCATATTTTTTCGCATATAATTGTCCAGGCTGTTGCTGGGAAGGTACATCCATGTACATCCATTTTAGTGGCACATCATCACTTAGGCTGGGGGTAAGCCTAAGGCCTTGAATCAACCAGGGTCGATCTTCATCCGGATTAATTCAATTAATTCCTCCAAATTTGATGGTTGAGGGATTAACATCTCCCTACAAACCTGTCTCCCATGCAAGGACCTGAAGTGCCATCACGCCAAGCCCATCCCTCTAGACACCCAGGGTTTCTGGGGATCTATTTGCAAGGAGCAAGGATATGAAAGATATGAAAGAATCAGATCATCCTTAGTGAATGTTATATTTTTTGAAACGAATTGCCATCATTTGGCATGTTTTGAACTGTCTATAATACCATTTGGTCATCGATGGCTGGGGGCAGCGTGTGATCGAAGTTTTGTTGTTGAAAGTGGGGGCCCAGGGGCGGCCCAGGACCTCATTCGATCGAGTGGAAGCAGAACTGCGAGGAGAGCAGCTGAAGTTGATCTGCGCGACTTGACGAACCACTGGGAGGCTGCGAGTTATTTGCTGGAATACCATGGAATACCATGAGGCAAAAGCTAAAGAGAGGCAGGACACTGGTAGAGTTGCAAATATTTTCTACACTAAACTTTTTGTGTTGTATTTTATTGGTACCACATACATACATTAAATACACGTATCAATGTGTGCGCGTATTTTTTAAGTCCTTTGCCTGTAGATTTCTTTGGCAGCTGGCTGGTGCCTGGATCTTCTTTCCGGTCACGGAGAGCCCTGAAAGCCTAAACCATTGGTTATCCAGGTGCCAGCTCACAAACTCATGTAGTATCATAGCAACCCCATCCCCTTAATATTAAACACCCCAAATGCATGGCCCCAATTATGTGGAAATTCCCTACTAAACCATGATTTCCAAGGGGGTGTTTAATATTAGGGGGAAGGGATTATCATGTGGGGGATATGAATTATTGTAACTATTGTATAAGTAAGTACTGTATGCCCTCCGGTAATCAAATGTGGCAATGGACAATTGGACAATGCACCATTCATAGATGATTTTCCATGATTTTCCCATAACCTCAATTTGCAGAGGTTTATTCCAGCCAGCCATTTTTGAAGCTGAGGCACCTATGTATCCTTATATCCTTATTTGTGTAAGTGCACGACGGTCATTTCACAGATTCCGAAGTCCAAAAGCGTTTTTGCCGAGGATTTGTCCACTGGTTCGCGAGTAGAAGTTGCACCTTGGGCCCCATTTGAGACATTTTGGAAGTCATCACGTCATCACAACCATCTGATTTTGATCACCCCAGAGAATGTCACCATCGTGGGGTGTGGGGCTATCGTCACCTACGAATTCTTAATGGGATGGGATTATCGGATAAACCCCGTAGGCCCGTGGTGCGATCACTGGGATGATCATCGATAGGTGGGGTCTATGGAATCTGTACCAGCATCCCGCAGCCACTGGAAAAGGGGGCTCGCTGCCTAGCCCTCAATCCCCAGCAAAAAGCATAAATCCCTGGCAGTTCAAGACATGTGGGGCAGTCAAAATTGAATCTTGGACGATAATTTCAGCCTCAAGATTGCTTGATATTTTCTAGCTGGTGGTTTCGAAAAATGCTTCAAGCAGTTCGTTCAAGGTGTCCTTGCTACTTTGAAAACGCAATCTCAATGCGTTTAACTAGGCTTGGGGAACTGTACCCTCCGGTCATCTAACGGCCTAGCGTGGCAATGGAGAATCGCCCAGTCTTTCAGGTGATCTTCGGGTCATGTCCGGCTCTGAAGCGAGGTCTGCAACGTGGGCCATGACGTTGCCTATGCCAAGGGCCAAGTGTCCAGACAAACAGAAATTGCCCCTCGCCAGTGCGAAGATTTTGGGGAAAAATGCATACATCGACCATTGGGGGTTTATACTGTTAGTAATGGTTGATGTATATTTTTACCAGTATGGTTAGTAATGGTTAGTAATGTTATTAATATTTACCATAGT